TATGAATGGCTTTCTCATTTCAAAAAAGGTGAAATGTCAATTGATGAAACCTTGTTCTGGATGTCCATCAACTTCCCAAACAGAGGGAAATGTTGGCAAAATCCGTGCACTTGTGCTCAAAGACCAATGCCGGACCGTTGAAGAGATGGGGAAGTGATCTGGGCTATCTTGGAACTTGGTTCAGCGAATTTTAAGGGAAGATTTGGAAAAAAGTGGGGTCTCTGTGAAATGTGTGCCTGGGGCTCTGACTGACCAGGAAAGAGTGTTGACTGGAAACATGCCGTGCTTTGAAAGAATAGCTCAGAAGAGACCCAGATTTTCTTCCCAAGGTGATTACTGGTGACATACATGGTGCTATTCTTACATCCCCCAAAGCAAACATCAATCGAGCCAGTGGAAGCTGCCACTGTCACCTCACCCACAAAAAGATTGTCAAGTGAAATCAAAGATCAAGACGATGATTACTGGGGTTCTTTATGTGAGGGCATATATGGAAAAGCTTTTGAGACTAAAATACATGTTCATTTATACATATCAAATTGGTTATATGACATCTTAAGAAGAACTGTCCCATGTGGCTGTGGTATTTGTCACCAAGAAGGGGAAACCTGGAAGGACAGGACAGGATCTGGTTGCAGTCCCTCCATTCACTAAACTAAGACTACACACAACCAACCCAATGCTCAGGCAGGACTGTGGCTGCTGTCAGAATTCCTGTTCTCTACCTGACCAGGTCTCCACCATGTCTCCAGCAGATGTGCATTTCGCTACTGTGGCTCTAATGTACCTAATGGTACTAGAAGACGGCCTTACCTCCAGAGTCTCTTCCGCAGTGCAGCCAGGCTGCTGCTGCAGTTTGCCTGTATTTAAGGCCTCAATGTACTCATCACATTTTTTGTAACCAGCATTCAACAGATCATATTTGGCCGTTAACAGTCCTTGACCGGGTGTGACATCACCAATTCCAATGGAGAACCCACGGTTGGCTGGAGAGCAGGGAGAGAGCCATAAATGTTATTCAGTTAACCTACCTTGTGCAAACAAGTTTATACTTTTACTGAATTTTCAATAATCCAATTTAAGAAAAACTTAGTTCAAAAAAACAAAAACTTAGTTCATCATATCCTAAAGAATTATATAAAATACTGACTTCACTTAGAGAAGGGGATATTGTAATGTTCCTTATAAACTACAATAACAAATAGACTTATAACACATACCATGGACGGGAAACAATCTGACTTCTGTTTGGGTTTTTTTTTTTTTTTAAGCATTTTATTGGGGGCTCTTATAGCTCTTATCACAATCCATACATACATCCATTGTGTCAAGCACAATTGTACATTTGTGGACATCATTTTCAAAACTTGAGCCCTTGGTATCAGCTCAATTTTTCCCTCCTTCCCTCTCTAAATAATCCTTGATAATTTACAAATTATTACTATTTTTTTCATGTCTTACACTGACCAATGTCTTCCTTCCCCTGCTTTTCTGTTGTCCGTCCCCTTGGGAGGGGGTTATATG